GGCGGTAGTGCCCCGAAGATGAACACCAGAGAAGAAAAAAAAAAGAACGGGGATGCACCGTTAGGCTGTTCGGGACGAACAACCTTTAAAAGGGAGCAATATGACGTGGACGGCGCAACGCTCGGTAAACACCCTCCCTTACAGCGGTGACGTAATATCATCGGAGCAACTGCTGCTGCTACGGTAACAGGCCAGTAAACACTCCGCCCCCTCCCGCGGTGACGTAACATCACTTCCCACTGTGACGTAAGAGGGGACACCGCTGTAACACGAGGCAACAGGGAACTGTATAAAAAGCCGGCTGAACAGTATGTGAAGAGAGAGTGTGATCAGGAGTGACACAGTGTGGATTGTGAAGTCGCCGAGTGCAGATGAAGTCAGTTGCAGTCTAGCATTCGCCGGAGTGAATGGAAACAGCAGAAGTATTTTTGATACTGCCGATGGCAGTAATTGTGGAACTCTAAAGTGTGTAATGGTGAATTGTGTAATTGTGACAGTGAGTATTCAGTAAATTCGTTAGATTCAGAACGGCGTGAAGTTATTTGTCGCGTGACATATACCCAACACGTGACAATATGTTAAAAATACATTTCCTTGACAATGCATATATATGTATTTCAACATACCTTACCACAAAGTGTTACACAGACAGTGTCAAATGTTTCGAAAGAATTTTTTATACTGTGTCACATGCTGCTCATCATCAGATATAGTTAAGGTGATTAAACCAAGGACTGTGAGATGTGAATTGTCATGCAGCATGCATAAGAAGGGTGGAAATTATGTACGGAGTTAGGTCTGAAGACCTACACAAGTATAAATGCAAGGGTAACACTGAAATGTTTAATAGGAAGTAATGTGTCAAACTGTGGATTGAATTCGCCGGTGTCACGTATTTAGTGACTAGAGGGGGGGTTGGATTGGTAATTAGATTTATTGGCCTCTCGAAACTCGTAACTACAACTACAACTACCGCTAACCCTAATCAACACACTCTAAAATTCACCACAACAAGCGCTAATTTTTCTCAGTCTGCTGTATCTTCACCGATCGTTGCTTGGTAACGGCTCAAACGCAGTAGATTCCTTGGCTTCAGTGTTCACATCCTTAATGGCCGGCGACAGTTTCACAACTAAGCCATGGGAGTAACTCTAAGTGTCTTTTTACCTGCTCAACACCTCAAAGCTACAATTCGATAACCTCGGGGAAGATCCAACAGAAAACACCGCCTTCAACAGCTCTTCTATTGTTGCGTTCGTAACTGTTCGCGGGTTTGTCTTGTAGTAATTTAACAATG